GCTAGGGAGCAGCCTCAGCAGGAAACTCACTCACACAGCAGCCTTTATGATCAGTGCCTGCCTTCCACATCTTACTCACCTGGGAAGTCCCCATCAGGGCTATCCCCTCCCAGGTCTACACCACTCTTATCCGGCCAAGACGCTCCTCTTCCTGAGGATGACCACCACACGTCTTATTCCTCGAGGCACGCATCACCTAGGCAGTCTCGCTTTCATCATTACAGGGCTCCACCACAACAGAACCCATGGCACCCATACTGGCCTTACCCACCCCCACCTTATCCACCACAATGGGGACCCTGGGGACACTGGGAGCCATGTGGACAACGCTCCCCAACTCACTCCACTCCATCTCAGAGAAGCTTATCTCGACCGCAGCCCCTACCTCCAGCAACTCTTTCGGATGAAGAGGTGGACCGAATCTCTGACAATGAATCAGACAGTCATTCAATAAATGTCACACATTCTGATGCTCCCGATACACAATCAGATGAAGCCGTAGTTCCATCAGATTCTGCACCAATTGATGACCTAAAACAGTTCCAGGATCTATTCAAGAGGGTAGCAACAAGCCAGAATGTTTCCCTGCAAGAGGTCCAGAAGAAACAGTACCAATTGCTAAAAAATCTCCATCCTACATTACATAGCAAGATTGCCCTGCCTATAGACGAGGCAATAATGGAGACCTCGGAAGACCTCTGGAAAACACCTGCATCCATTCAACCAACTAATAAAAGAATTGACAGGAAGTACTTTGTCCCATCAAAAGACAACGACTTTCTCTTCACACACCCACAACCTAATTCGTTAGTCGTAGACTCAGCACAACAACGTGCAAAGCTCCCACAATACAAGTTGGGCAACGCAGACAAGGACCACAAAAAGTTGGACTCCTTTGGCAAGAAGGTATACTCCTCTTCCACCCTACAACTCAGAATATCGAACTACTCCGCTCTTTTAGCAAATCATGACTTTGACAATTACTCGAAACTGGGAGAACTGGTGCCACATCTCCCTGAGTCCAAAAGATCCATCTTGAAAACAATAGTTCATGAGGGCCATATGATCGCCCGCACTGCTCTCCAAACCGCAATGGATGTTGCTGACACCGCAACCCGAATTACAACTACAGCGGTGGTCATACGTAGAGCTTCTTGGCTCCAGTCGTCAGGAGTTCCACGCGATCGCCAGCCTAAAGTGGAAGATCTGCCATTCGACAAGCAAAAGCTATTTGCAGCTACTACAGACGAAATGCTCCATAACAGCAAAAATTCCAAGTCCACACTTCGCACGTTGGGCATGTACACGCCGCCCTATAGACGTGGACGATACACCCCATATAACTCATACAACCGATACCGATATGGGCAATACAATAGACCACAGAGGCCCTATGAAGACACTAGACCAAGGCAACAAGGTCCCAGAAGGCGCCACAACCAGGCCCGCCCACCAACTACCCAACCATCTAAACAACAAATTTGAAGATTTGGTCGAGGGCCTGCAACACCTCTCTTATGATCTACCACGACTTCAACATGGTCATCTATTCACCCACCGTTTGCGGCCATTCCTTCCTCAATGGGAATCCATAACATCGGACCGCTGGGTTTTAGAGATAATTCGAGTGGGCCACACCATCCCATTTACCTCTATCCTCCCTACCCTTCCTCCTATCCCGTCCCTCTTCAGGGACCACTCTCACGAAACCCCTCTAAAACAAGAAATCGATCGACTCCTTCTCATTGGAGCAGTAGAAAGGGTACCCCGAGAG